ATTTGTAAAGAATTTATTCGTAAATCAGGGTGGAAAATAAGTATTTGGTCAATAACAAAAATACAACTCAATACTTTGTAACATAACCTTTGTTGGCAATAACAGAGGTCAAACGTTTACTATAGGTCTTTACCAGGTTTGCACACACAGTAGCTGGTATTTTGGCCCATTCCTCCATGCAGATCTTCTCGAGAGCAGTGATGTTTTGGGGCTGTCGCCGAGCAACACGGACTTTCAACTCCCGCCACAGATTTTCTATGGGGTTGAGGTCTGGAGACTGGCTAGGCCACTCCAGGACTTTCAAATGCTTCTTACGGAGCCACTCCTTTGTTGCCCGGGCGGTGTGTTTTGGATCATTGTCATGTTGGAAGACCCAGCCTCGTTTCATCTTCAAAGTTCTCACTGATGGAAGGAGGTTTTGGCTCAAAATCTCACGATACATGGCCCCATTCATTCTGTCCTTAACACGGATCAGTCGTCCTGTCCCCTTGGCAGAAAAACAGCCCCATAGCATGATGTTTCCACCCCCATGCTTCACAGTAGGTATGGTGTTCTTGGGATGCAACTCAGTATTCTTCTTCCTCCAAACACGACGAGTTGAGTTTATACCAAAAAGTTCTACTTTGGTTTCATCTGACCACATGACATTCTCCCAATCCTCTGCTGTATCATCCATGTGCTCTCTGGCAAACTTCAGACGGGCCTGGACATGCACTGGCTTCAGCAGCGGAACACGTCTGGCACTGCGGGATTTGATTCCCTGCCGTTGTAGTGTGTTACTGATGGTGACCTTTGTTACTTTGGTCCCAGCTCTCTGCAGGTCATTCACCAGGTCCCCCCGTGTGGTTCTGGGATCTTTGCTCACCGTTCTCATGATCATTTTGACCCCACGGGATGAGATCTTGCGTGGAGCCCCAGATCGAGGGAGATTATCAGTGGTCTTGTATGTCTTCCATTTTCTGATGATTGCTCCCACAGTTGATTTTTTCACACCAAGCTGCTTGCCTATTGTAGATTCACTCTTCCCAGTCTGGTGCAGGTCTACAATACTTTTCCTGGTGTCCTTCGAAAGCTCTTTGGTCTTGGCCATGGCGGAGTTTGGAGTCTGACTGTTTGAGGCTGTGGACAGGTGTCTTTTATACAGATGATGAGTTCAAACAGGTTCTTACAGAAGACGTTACAGGTCTGTGAGAGCCAGAGATTTTCCTTGTTTGAGGTGACCAAATACTTATTTTCCACCCTAATTTATGAATAAATTCTTTACAAATCCTACCATGTGGATTCATGGATTTTTTTTCACATTCTGTCTCTCACAGTTGAAGTGTACCTCTGGTGCAAATTACTGACCTCTGTCATCATTTTAAGTGGGGGAACTTGCACAATCGGTGGCTGACTAAATACTTTTTTGCCCCACTGTACATTGTAGTTTTTTGCAGTGTGAATCGTTTCTGGGCAACCTGCAGGAAATTTCAAACACTGAATTATGACGAGAGTTCTCTTGAGCTACATGATGGTGTTATTTGGGGCTTGAGGTTGAACTGAGTGAAACTCCTCCTCATGTCAGTGTAGAGAAGTTGAATTAGATATATCTGAGATATTTTAATAAAGGAGGATGAAGAGCAATTTCAACAATACATCTAGGTTTGTCTGTGTGATAAAGAAATGGAATAACTCTAAAACGGTTTCCTGCTGACTGGTATCAAAGCTTTTCGACTAAAGCACGGCGGCCGTCTTGTTAATTCTGGTCCTGATTAGAATCTAGAAGCACTATAAAGGACTATATGTGCCGCGGTATGACAGGTTGCTAACATATAAGTGTGTTATTCTCAGTCAGATCCGCCACTCCTCATCACAGTGAGAATTCAACAAGTACTGTCTATCTTTTATATACGGTCTATGATTGGCCCTATAATTCCTAGTTGATGCTACTGCTCAAAACAAGGCCTCAGGTTTCAGGCCGTAAACAAATACTCCATGACAATATATCTATATAATCCACATCATACTATCACATGTCAGTTTATGGCCAGTGTGGTCCCTTTCATAGAAGAGTTCCAGCATCCAGACAGTTCAGATTAAATTTAGATCAAACACTGAACACAATGTTTTGGGGTTTTTTTCTTCTGTCTTTTCTTTTGGGAGATTATGCATCACTAAGCAATCTGCTCTGAGGCTCGTCTGCCTCTTTGGAGTCAATGAGTGGTGCGTAAAACATCTGGAGTGATGTATGGTCAGCATTAGGGAGTAAACCCGGGGCAGTTATTTGTTCCACAGCCGTCTGATAGGTTGTAACCCTGGAAATAGCAGTGTGACCCTTGTGTGTTGAGCATGGGGCGAGGTTTTAGGGTTTTTTTATGCAGACGACATGAATGATTTCCAAAAATAGAACTGAATAAGATTTGAAATTGTAAACAGACTCGCATGCATCGATTCCCACGTGAATCTCCATGTTTTACTTGCAGTGAACTTTGGCGCTAGCTTCTCTTTAAGCTAACAGGATTTGATATATTTATACATTTCTCTCTTCATCTTGCAATGACTCATGTATCAGTGGGTGTCCTGAACCTTGATCTCCTTCCAGAAATTTTCTTGATTTCCTCTTTATATTTTTATTTTACTTTGAGCTGTATCCTTTTCCCTTTTCATTTCCGACTCTTCCTCCCTCCCGTTCATTTATTTATTGATTTTCATATTTTGAGAGTCAAAGTTCTCTTCTTGTACTTTCCTGTCCTCATTCCTCCGCTTGTTTTTGTCTGGAGTCCAGTTTGATAATGATTTGGAGTACCGAGGCTCAGTCAGAGAGCCAGACAGACGGTAATGAGGGCAGGAATACTGATTAATGCAATCAGCGGTTTGTTTTGACTGAATGACGTTTCTAGCTCGAGTCTCAGTTAAGGACGAAAAGGTGCATCTTTCTTCACCTTTAGACAATAATTCTGATGGTAAAGGAGCCAAACGGGACAGACATCATTAGTCCCAGGGTCCATTTTGGATGTTGAGCATCTGAGTTGCTGAAGTGCCCTTAAGCAAAACATTAAATCCTTGGCAGCTCCAAGGAGGTTGTTATCTCTTTCTTGAGCTATGGGGAGCCTGACCTTCTAGAGACAGGCTAAAGAGAAAAGAGGATCCCTCTGCAGGAATTAATAAAACATCACGCTCCTGTCAAAGGTTCTCAGTGGGATATTTTTAAACATCAAACATATTGTATGACTAATATTAGAGCCGGAGTCTGGCGTGAATGTCGGCCACTAAAGTAGCAAGAAAGTGCTGTATGGGAATGCAGGTACTCTCCATCAGGAGAACTGTCATGAAGGTGCGTATATAGAAGTGTATTATAGACATATTAAAATTGTCTACAGACATTCAGGTTGAAGCCTGCTGACACTTACTTGTAGTTGTAAGTATATTTTCTTTGTTCCCTGGTGTTTTGTTTTGCCATGGTGTGGTGTAGAGCCTAATAAAGCGAGCCTTTATTGGATTATTTTCCTCTGAATTCACCAAATACAAAACAAGAACAGAGATCCAAGAGAACATGAGGAGTGAAAGTGAAAAAAGGAAAAAGCACTACAGGGAGTTAAATGGATGATCTGACAAAAGACGAAAAGAAAAGATGTTATATACAAAAGAGATTGATTAGTGACACAAGAGAGGAACCAGACACAGGGGAAAGCAGTCAAGAACAGCTGAAAGTAGTCAATCACACAGGAGGGAAACAAAAGCAGGAAACCTTAAAACAAAATTAAACGGGAAAGAATTGAGCACTGACTGAGACTTAAAAAATAATAAAAGGGAAAATAAAAACCAACAATCAACAAGACAGAGGCCAGTCGATGTTAGGGGAAAACAGTGGTTTGAGACCAAAATTATTTCAACCACATTAGTGCTTGGGATCTCATTGGCTTTGAAAATGGATACCAGGTCTGCAACCAGTTGCTGTCTTTAAATCATCTTTGGCACATCAAGAACGCTATAAAACGACAATAAGATGCAGTCAGTCTGCTGACATTTTGCAACTTATTGGGGTCAAGTTGGCAAATGGTGCAGTTATGTACAAACATTTGCAAAGCTGATCGTTTTGCTTGCCACCAGGCGATGAGGTAGATCGCCTCATCTCCTTGCAATCAGTCTCAGACTGTTCCACTTTTTCTCAGTCACAAGGATGTTGCTATCCTATTTTGAACCTAGTCTAACGGAGCCATTAAGCAAAAATAAATAAATAAGAGAATTACAATAAAATACCAGATCTATAACAGGTTTCTGTTATTTTTGACAATCCTGTTGCAGAAAACCACTTCTCTAGCACCTCCATATGGTTATCAGCCATATTTGAGTAAAATATCCAGCCCCTACTTAAGTCTTGCTTGTAAAATACTCCTATTTGGTAAATGTCACTGTCATTACATTTCTAACACACTTGTTGTGGGCAAAACACACCTGATTAGGATGTTTAGAGGTGAAGGTGAGATGTCACATCATGATTTGACACAATTACATAGTTAACCTTACTGGGTGTGCTTAAATACCATTGTATAATATATAATGGTAACTGTCGTAATATGGATGCATGTAAGCCTAAACTACAGTCTTTCCTAAACCAAACCTAGCATCCTAAATCTGAAATTTAATCTGCTCCCCAAAGGATGAACCATACATTAAGAGATTTGGTGATCCTCAACAGAAGGTCAAAAGTCAACGTAGATCAAGTCACAAAATCAAATTACAAATGCAAATCAAAATAAAATGGCCTAGCATAGCATGTTAGCATCACATTAATATTACTCTCTGCAAAATTGAAGACTTTGAATGATGTTTATTTGAAAAACAATGACCATCAATACACATCGGATCTTGGTCCAGTATTTGGATCATTACATTTAAGGTATATTTTCAAAGAAAACTACTGTCAGACATGATTGCCTCTTAATCAGCCACAGCTTTGCAGTTCTCATAACTCACTTACATCATATGCCTTGTATTTTTGTCTCTTTGTGTCTATGCAGGATTTTGATGACTTCATCTTTGCATTCTTTGCCATCGAGATGGTGATCAAGATGGTGGCTCTAGGGATTTTTGGCAAGAAGTGTTACCTTGGAGACACGTGGAACCGTTTGGATTTCTTCATAGTGTTGGCTGGGTGAGTTACACAATTACACTCGCAAACACAAACACACAGGTGGCCAAGCATAACCGTGCATAAACACCGGAGGCTCGCGCAAGGAGCAGCACGCACACATGCAACAAATTTGGACAATAATCAATGTGCAAGGCGGAATCTGGGAAAGCGGTGACAGATTCAAGAACAAGGATAGAATCTGGGGAGCACAAAAAGATGTTTTGAGCTTCTAGATGTAATTGTGTCACAGGAAGCCAAGACGCTGCAGGCAGAGGATCAAACAGTATTAGATTTGAAGCATGAACCTGGTAGAGCAAGCCTTCTAACTCGCACGAGCTTTGCTGGATTTGCCCTTAAATAAATTTACTTTAAGTATTCCGTTAGAGGCTTTTAACTTGAAATCAATACCACGAACCCTCTTAAATTCTTTAGTGTTCAGATTGTGTAGAAGCTGATGAATGCATGTCGATTTCTTTTCTAATTATTATTATTTCAACTTTTACAGTACTTACAAATCTGCCCTTGCTCTATAGCACATTTATATACATTTTAATTACTATACCGCGCTCATAAAATCAAGCGACACATGCCCACACACCAATGCACACACACTGTAATTTGATTAAACATGTTACAGAACATAGCCTGCTGCTTTCAGTCTGACATTTTCATCATACTACATCCCCCGCTGGTTTATAATGCCATCCTTCTGCCACAGCTTCTGTTGTCCATCAGTGGAAACGGGACACATTTCCTTTTGTGTGTGTGTGTGCGCGCGAGTGCACATTGTCCTTAAACATATACATATATATGTATTGTGTGTGTGTGTGTGTGTGTGTGTGTGTGTGTGTGTGTGTGTGTGTGTGTGCATACTGTATATAGAGATATAGAGAGAGCGAGATCATTCCCTTTATTTTACACTGAGCTACTGTTCCACAACTGAAGTGATGCCTTGGGTTATGTCTGCTCTCAGCTCACATTCAGTTAATTCCCGTGGTTTCCTTTCACTCCTCTTCTCTCTACCTGAATCATATACGTGAGTGGAAGCCTTTATATGATTATGGTAAGAGCTGCGTCCTTCTCGGTCATCATGACTCAGGGAGAATCTGACTCAGTGCCAACGCAACAGAAGGAACTTGATGGGAAACACCTCAGCGTTTGATACGGAGGCATTTATCTCCTGAGTGATGGGGAGGTCGTTAAAAGCAGCTCAGACTATAGCAGCGGCTGAAACATCTGCGGGGGTGACATTGCATCGTTGCAGGGAAGGCTGTATCCTGTATCCTAGGATATCGCATAGGATAACGCATCTGCTGAAGTATTCCAGTGTGAATTTTTGTATACGACTTTTGTAATACATAACCCAGTTTATTTTTATTGCTTGTATAATCTTTTATTATTTTTCCAAGCATACATGGAACAGCAGACATCCCACAAAAACCTGAAACCTGAAACAGAGAGAGACATCTACATACCGGAAACAATTCATTTAATTAATCAGTTGTAAAATTTATGGCCCATATTAAATGCACAATTTTAATTTCAACTGGTTGATTTTAGCTGTGTAATAAAAGTAGTGGAATGAAAATCAGGTCCTGCTTTGCATGCAATCAGTTGATTGAAAATCCACTATCAGCTGAAAACACCCGCGAACCTCTGTTGGAGACAAACTTCCCTAATCCCGATCAAGGGTTCAGTCAGAACCTCTACATTCAAAAAAGGCTTTTTTTTTTA